AAAAACATTTGGTCCCACAACCATGCCCGTAACTTAAAAAATAGGAAATAAAAAACCAAAATAAATAATTTGAGCTAAACCATTGGGTGGGTGTAATCAATTCTTGTCTTCAGCACTGACGGAAAGGTTATTTACACAACAAAACTAAGTTTAAATTTAAGACGCCTGGCATAAAAGAAGAATTCTACGTTCTGAACTTATGGTCTGTCAACGGAATCCAAAAAACAGCACGTTTTTCCCAGGAACGAACGAAGCTACCACTTTTTAGGTTTGATTACCCGCAATTAGCCAAACAACCATCTCACAATGCAATGCAAGATTGCATAAAATTTCAAACGCATTTGAGATCTAGAAGAACGTACGACATTGTTCAACTCAACTAAACACAATAACTTTATTATTGGTAAAACGGAACTTCAGCACTCAAGGGAATGTGCATTCAAATTGTTCATGGAAAGCCATTGTGTTTACTAGTCCTTATGGAGATGTCTATTATTGATTCTAGCGGCTACTTAAAACAGCAAACCCATATGAGCCACGTTTGTTTACGATTCGATTTGAAAACGCTAATGGAGGTCTTTGATGGAGGTCCACTTGACAAATAGTGTCGAATGCGTGGGGCATTGCTAAATTATCAATGAGTGTAGAAATTGTGTGGAACTTATATATATTTTATCAGTAGGCGGATAAATCAACAAAAGGCCTTTTATTTTTACTCTTATGTCGGCTTTATCAGGCAAGCGTTGACAGTGCCCAAGGTTAGTGATATCTGTTGTGAATGGGTGTTCTTAAAGGACGTATCTTAGTATTTCAGGGGTCAAGATTGCTGAGACAACAGGAGGAAAGGTAAATTAAGCGACCGTCGTATATCGCCAAGCTTTACCTCGCTTCAGTGTAACGAACAAAGTCCTAATGTAATAATCTTTTCATGACGACTAAGATGGCAGCTTCCGTTTGAGTAAAACGGGCTGTGAGATATTTATTCGGACCAGTAGCTGGTTTTTAGCCTTACCTTTCATTCATATTTTCTATCATTGGTTATTCAATGGAAATTTCTTCTACCCAAATCTTTTATACAACGCTAACCGTGGGTTGTTTTGTAATGTTTACTTTATTTCCTTGCAGCGAGTAACAATACTGTAAATCTACTCACAGGCAAATACATTCGAGTGCAGTTCAATTTTAAGCCATGAGACAAAGATATCTATCAATCAATTCTTCCGAAGGTAATTAAAACGGGACAAACTCAGTATCTAACATGGCCCGCCTTGTACGGTAAGAGGTGTTTTATCTGGCGCTAACTTCGTTAGAGTTGAAAAAACGACGCTGGTTACTGAGTTCTTCTTTGATTCAACGAATGATATTAATAATGAATGAACTTAAAATGAATTTTGAGACTCGTTTTCTTTTAAAATCGAGACCAACAGAGTGGAGAAAGTGAATCGGGAGTCGCCGATATATCCTGATTTCAGTACTTGTACGGCTAATATCAAACCATTGCCCAAAATGTATTTCACCTTATTATGAAATGACAACTCTATGCAAAATTTAATCCTACAAGACGTATGAATTACTTCTTGGCTTTAAATTTGGAGTAAATAATCAAACAGATTGAAAGGACTTGGTATCATATCATAAAATTTAGACTTTTTAGGGCACGATTAAATTATTTCACGAAGCATTGATTTTTCGGAGAACTTGCTCAGCTTTTTGTGTGCCCCGTGGCGTAAATGAAAATTTCTTTCCGTGGCCAGAAAAAATTAACAGACCTTTTTTAAAGTTTAAGAGGACTTGTGGTTTATTTACTGCTTCGATCTGTTGGAAATCAGATATCATGCAGTACATCCTAAAGTGAGACAATTGTGAATTAGAGCCACTATACTTCGTGTGAATTGTCATTGCAGTTGTAGATAACCTTCACTGTAAACTGTGAAGTAGAATCTCCTCTAAAGAAAATATTATAGAGTATTGGGGACTTTACAATGACTCAGATGAAGATAATGTTAAAAATCTAACTTCTGCGACTGCATTATAAACTTGAACTCTTTGCATGGCGAATAAGTAATAACTCAAACTTTAGGAGTCTCTCAATCAGTCTATTGGCTTCCATTGTTTGATATGATTATCGTACTCGAGCTAAATCCTGTCGTATTAGACATCGAAAACTCTAGTCTTTCAATTCAGATTTGTTCAGTTTGAATTGGAGCCAAAAGCCTAACACTGCATTACGCTGTAAGGGCCAGAAATGCATAGCTCAAAACAACAACAGAAACTACACACACACCACACACACACACACACACACACACACACACACACACACACACACACGTATACACACTCATTCAAAACAAAGCAACACTTTGTCATTAGACGTCAGTTACTCGAAAATTGGTATTTACGGTTTAAGATGTGACCATAGTATTTTGGTTTCAAAGGGAAACTTTCCGGGGAAGAGTGGTGCTGCCAAAGGCTAATGCTCGAAAACTGTCAGCTTGAATTTAGGTACGGTGGCCAGTTTGCAAAATCGACTCGGTTGATAAGACTAAATTATAATGGTTTTAAGATAAGCTCCTGCATGCATTGCATGGTGATGTATGTGGTGGAAATATTTTGGATAGATGTTGTCGTGTTTTGGAAATTATAGTTGAATAGCGGATAATTTATTTCTTCAAACTGACCTAACCTGATTGCTTTCTTAGGCCCTATCCTCACTAATCCGTTTTCAAACGAAAACGGAGCTGTTTTGCTCCGTTTTCAAAAAGATTTGCGACCACACTTATCGTTTTCGTATCGCTTTCGCCCGTCCACACCACAACGCCGTATCCGTTTTGAAAACGCTTTTATACCCTCAGTGCGCATGCTCAAATGAACTCGACGCATGCGCATTTCAATATATCGGTCCGCGAAACTGGCGCCATTCTTGATTCTTTGTTGTTGAGCGTTGTTGTTTTAGAATTCTTTGATATTTTGCTTCTAAACGATGCCAAGAACAGCTGGAAGGCAACCAAAACCTAAAACAGACTGTTTCACACGGACTGATGATGAAGTCGAGCTACTTGTTTCCTCTCCCTCAACATACGGCCTCAGTTTGACAGCAAGAGCGTAAAGAGAAGTCCTACTCATGTGGAAATTCTCCCTCCACTCTTCCTCCACTACTTTTCTAGCGACAAAGTTGTCCCACCATACTGAAGTTCGTCCAGGTCTTGTCCAAAACCTTCGAGGTTTTGGCGGGCTTCGAGAGACTCGTTTTATCTTAGCTTTTCCCTAAGCTGGCAAGGTTAGAAGCCTTAAAATTTCTTGTTCCCTTCTTGTGAAATCTAAGTGGCGCCCCAGCAGGGTTAAATGCGCTTACAAGAGCGTCAAAAGACTGGAAATCATTCCGATCAAGAGAGAAGCCACATGGTAGCATCTGTCCGCCATTTTGGATACTCACGGTCGAGTGGTCTGGCGCTCGCTCGTGTCTATTTTGATTACATCACCGTTTTCAGATAGCATCGTTGTCTCCTTCCACACACTAGAAAACAGCGTTTTCAAAAAGTATCGTTTTCAAATCAGTCCACTCTGGAGAGCGTTTTCGAATGGCTCCGTTTTCGGCGTTGTAGTGTGGACGATAGCCGTATCCGGATCAAAACAGCCCCGTTTTCGTTTGAAAAGGGGCTAGTGTGGACCGGGCCTTAGAAACAAACATGGTTTTAAAAAAAACCATTGTTGAGGAGATGTCGAAGATGACGTTATCTTTTTTAAACGGTAACTTTTTTGTAAGCTTTGAACGCTACATGGAATGAAAACCATGCAAGTCCTGTTAGGTACAAGTAGGCGAGGGTTTGCTAATATGAGTGTAATCAATCAGTTTGAATGCCATTTTGCAGTTTGAAGTCAAATCTTCATCTTAATTGCGCTTCTAGAAACGAATAGAATTCAACGACGTTTTTTTTATAACGCTTTGATAAGGCAAGCCAGTAAATAAACTATGTTGATTCAATATGAATTCTTAAACTGTCTGAACGGACCAGTGGTTAGACGACATATCAGTTTTCACTTTCTTTAAGTTTTGTATTTAGGTTTATTCTCGAGTAGTTGGGAAAGGGTAGAGGCTGATATCTCCGGTAAAATACAGAAATCTAGGCAATTTTGGCAATATGTTTGAATAATATTTTATGTATATATATGCTAATAACGTGTGACTTGATTTTCGTAGAACAGTGCTCAATACATAGAAGTAGAGCGAAGTATATATTGTGGGAGGAAAAAGACAAGTAAACTACAAGTTCATCCCTACAAGCCTGTTTCGTGGTCGCCCACTCATCAGGGGATTTAATGAGAATAAACTTTACCATTGCTTATATACAATATAATCTGCATGATCTAACTAGTCTAATTTATGCAGCGCGAAATTGACAGTTTAGTTGTTGCGTAGAAGGGCTTTGCTTCTATGGCGGCAAGAAGACACGAGTTCATTACGTTTGTTTAGTGTAGATAGTTCGGGCCGGCAGATGATTAGGAATTTTTCTTTGAGGCAGAGGTTACATCTTTTATTTGAGCTGTTGTACGGTGAGTGCGATGAGAGAATGCGCCAGGAAATAAAGTGATCGATGTTGTTGTCTTTGAGGGTCCAGATGTGCTTGCTGAGTTCGGTAGAGTTTCTGTGTTTAGCGTGGCGGAATGATGCGGTGTGGTTTCTGTATCTTGTTTTGAAGTCATTCTCTGTGAGTCCGATGTACGTTTCTGTCGTGTTGTTGTCTTTGCGTGTAACGGAGGCTTGGTAGATTACTGATGGTTGCAGGCAGTTTCCGTCGAGCGGGCATGTGTTCTTTTGTCGGCAGTTGCATGTCTTGTTGTTATCAATGGTAGTGGCGGTGGCGGNAAGCGAATTTGGTATCCTCCTGTTCCACAAGTATGCCCACTGCAGTCAATGACCTTATTAGCAGAACATTATTCAATGGGGCATTTTGAGTGAAGCCGGGTCGGCTAAAAGTTCGAATTTTAGTGCCACAGTTTGACGCTGGTTTTTGTTAGAATTGAAAGGAAATTTTAATAACGACTTGCCTTCAGAATTGTCAGATTTATGAACTTGTGACAATGAACTTTGTTTGTTCAACAGTGCCTCTGAAATGACTTTGATTGCCTACGATATCTCTTGAATAGGATGCAGGATGTGGTCGACTACGAGCGGCGCCGGTTGACGAAATGGCCCTAGCTTGACCTTCAAGTAAGCGCTTTAACTACTGGTACACTATATCATTACACTGCCTTAAAGTTCTTCATACCATGGTTAGTTCATATGGTTATTGTGCTCAGAGAACTTGTCGTTGTTCGAAATTTGCCACCTTATTTATGTATATCTCTTAATATGCGTAATTCAACCGATGATTTTCAGCAAATATATATTTAAACTGTACATATAATAAAATCATGGAAGCCCCATTCGAAACTACACCATCGAGTTTTAAGCGCTAACTCGAAATGGCAGGTGTGCTCTCAGAGATGTAAACTGAAATTTTCAGAAGTTTTGACGCTTTCCCATTTTTTTTTTTTTTTTTTTTGTGATATTTGGCATGTAATGTTCATGATCTACCGAAATTTCACTGAGCAAAATAAACGTTTATTTTGACTTCTTGGAACTTCGGCTTATGATCACGGAGAATATTTCAAAATTAGAAAAATTAGTGCCGCGGTAGAACAAATTTACTTTTACTTGTTCGGATAGAAGAGTCGTTAAAGCGTAAAACTGTAACATCCAGCTAGACATTGCTGGTATACCAAAATTGTGAAATTTAAACTTTTCCTTGGAAAATAACAATGCTGAAAGCTGATTTCAAATCAACTTATCCAGGCCATTCGGAAATTTAAAGTGAAAATTCATTACTAGCGGCTCTTGACTAGCCATGTAGTGCAAATAATTAAAAGAGTTAAAATGAAAGGGTGACTCTGAATAGTTCTTATTAGCTGCTTAGGTCTACTTCGATTGCTTTTCATGTTAAACCTCAAGTGGTGATACCTTTATTTAAATCATGCGCCACCAAGTGCTAGCCTAATCCGTGTAGTTCTGCCATTCAACCTGGCGATTGCTGGATCCAGGAGAGGCCATCTATGGGCGCCTGGAAGGGGGCCCCTGAATCAGCATTAAATTGGAAAATGAATATTAAACGAAAAATAAAGCTGTTCTTTCTGCATTGGTCTATCAATGTGTGTGCTAAGCTCGGCCTGGGTCTGGTTTTCCTTCAAATCGCCGGATGGTCTCGATAGCTCCTGTATTGGTGACAGCAGTGACGATCCGGATATCATCTGCCGAGAGCAGGCTAAAAAATGAGAACAAAGTTTAATTTCAAAGAGTCCATCTAGCGTTAATGGCTAATGCAAATTGTCTAATCCAAACACACGACCACCTACTGTTATTAGACCCCTAAACTTAGCAAACAAAAGGTATTGGAGCAATAAAAAAAAAAAACCAAGACAAAGTAAATTGATAGTGAAATTGATTAGAAATACCACCTGCAAGTCGTAGATTTGCCTGTCTTGCCTTTTCGTTTAAAAAACAAAAATGAATGAAAGAAAACAGCTCTTTATGTTCATGTTTATGCTGTGGCAAACCTTACGAGTTATTTTTATTCATTGAAAGAGAGAGAGAGAATCAAGGAAGAGGTATATAAGCATCACTGCACTGTTTAACTCACAAGGCTCTGGCGTCAATATTGCCTTCAATACTTTGCATTTTGATTTGTTTGCCCATTTTCTGTGGATTATGAGAATCATGGAATCTAAATGGTTACATTCTTCTTTGTGAATAAGAGAGACAAGGTGTATCAAGGTTTTTTTCCCTTTAAAGACTTTAGGTAAGTTAAATTAGCGCTTTTACGACACGAGTTTCATTTTTGTCACTCCAAACGTACCCCTTCCTTTTTTATGGAAAGGCTAATCTAACTTTGACAAACCCAGTCGGGATATTCGGACTGTTGAATCAGTATTCAGTGTGAGATTGCGTCAAATAGAGAGCCGGAGGCTGTTATAGGAAACAAGAAATGTTTAAATTCATGATGAAGGTAAGATCTTAATCTGTCGCGACTGTAAGACAACGAAAACATATAAGCTTCCGGCGAATAATCGAACCTTACACAGACTCCAAAAAGCCACAGAGAACTCGTTTCTGAGCACGGCTGTACTCTAATATTATGCAGGACTCTTGAAACTTGCGTTCAACAGCGATGACCACGCTAACCATCAACCTTCATTCATCAGTGAGCGAAGTTCGGAAGTTCGATCACACCGGTTCCAAAACGAATAACATTTCTTTTTTCTGCAAAGACCGAACTCAATACAGTGGAACCTAGATTTAACGAACCTCTATATAACGAAGTCCTCGGTATAATGAATGATACTTCAGTTTCAGCCCGGCTAAAGTTACAGTAAAATGTTTGCCACAGAACCTCGATATAACGAACCAATTTCCCCAGTCCCTTGGCACTTCGCTAATTTGAGGTTCCACTGTATGTATCTTTTTTGTGATATATTTTTTTTGTGATATATTTTTTTATTCTTTCCTAAAAAGGTTGTGTTTGTCTAAGCTCACGAGTTTGCTTTGCCGCTCTTAAGATAAATCGTAAGCCTTGAATGTCACGCAATTTCTTACAGCCAGTGACTGTATGATTAGAATTTCAGTGGGCTCGCTTGAAAGTTCAAAATATTCGAGGGAAGTTTACGTAAGAAACTCGACTCTTTTTCAATGATAACAGGTTCAAGAGTGAACACTCGGCATAGATGTTGAATCATTTGTTTGAAATATGCACTTAGCAGCTAAGATCGTTTAAGCCTGTTGCACGCAAAATGTAATCCCGCTGGGAGATATCAACTTCAATTTAAAATCCATGACGTAAATATTATAGTCATCAAAAGGGCCACAGTAAAAGTTTATCCTTTTGTACGCAAGGTGTTCAATCTTCTATTTCATCCCAGGTTACAATTGAACACAGGGTCTATCTTCTACATTTTCTGATTTTTGTTCGGTTTTACATTTGCAGGATGATTTCTTTGCCTTCAGTAAACGGAAAAAAAAAATAGTCGTGGTTTTCTGTTATAGGGACCTTAAGAAACCACGGCGGCGACGGCAACGAGGACTTGGAAAAACAAGAGATCTAATTGGCAGAACAATAGCTCAGCACGTGCATTTTGAAACTTTGTACATTTCTTAGCCGTCCTATGCAAAACAACAACGTGAAATCGCCAAAATTTGCGTCGTATGCGAACCGAAACCGCGACGGCAAATTATTTAATTTCCATTTGGAACTCAACGGTTACTTTATACCTCATGCTGAAGTTGAGCTGTGGCGCTGTATGAGACAGTAAGCTCCTGCAGCCATTTTTAAAATTTTAACTAGGAGTAGAAATTAATTTTTTAATCGAAGTCTTCCTTGGCGTTGCCGTCGTGGTTTCTTAAGGTCCTATTGTCTTCCCGAGAACGTTATAACTCGAAAGTTTTCATCATAAAGAAATGAAAATTTAAACATACTTGAATGAGAGGCTTTTTCAGGGTTTACATCCATTTACTCGTAAATATAATCGCAAGTTTCAATCAGGTGAAAACAGTGACAAAGAGCAGCATTCGACACTTGTTTTTACTCAGTTGTCAAGTACAGGAGACCAGGGATTAACGAAATCCCTGAACATGGTAAAATATTGAGAAGTTACCTCCTTTTTTTTTTTCTGTGTTTGAGTTGGGGCTAGTTTACAAAAAGCACGAAAATACGCGCGTCTACAAAGAAAAATCAAATGTTTTTAGATTTGCGGAGGACTTAAAACCGCATAAAGTGCCGAGTACGTGCGTGTATATTGCCAAGCTTCAAACACAGTTTTGTCTGAAGAGATAAATATATACAAAGGAAAATAGTGGGGCCATTATTTTCGTTGGTACATAACACCAACGTAAATCATCAGGCATAGAAAACAATACCACCAGTAGAGTCCTTTGTGATCGTGTTGGATTAGGCACAATGTTAACAATCTATGGTTACACGAAATAAAGGAAATACATGGTTTGCTAACGTATTTGCTGCGCTCACAGCGGAGCTCTTGAGAGATTTCCATAATTATGCATAATATGCAGTATTTTTAATCTTCTGCCGTGATCGTTTATTTTTAATGTTAAAACATTATCGCCAAAGTAAGCAAGCATCTCAAGAACAAAGACATATCTCAAACACGAAAGACTCTATTGAAAATGCATCACTTAAGTTCCTGAAAGGTAAAACATAAATCACAAATTTGATACCGTAAATTTTTTATCTAATTTAACAACTGAGCTTAAATTATTGACCGTAGATTCACGCACTCATCTTTCTTTTCTTTTTTTGTTGGGTGTTGTTTTTCTTTCTACCTGAATATGCGTTTCTAAGAAAACTGAAACGTTAAAACTGAATTCCACACGGAATTGTTTTTGAGGGCATCGTTCACAGCCAAAGCGGGTTTTTGCCGAACGATCTCGACCCTTTTTCTAAATTTAACCTTAAAGTGGAAAGCGGAAGTGAGTTTTTAAACAGAAAAATTAAGCTGACATTTAAGTTGCGATATCAATATTGCTGTGGTACATTTTGTTTCAGACCTGTCTACATAAGTAAGACAGCCAAAAACATTCCCTCTCATCTAGAGACAAGTATATAGAAATGTTTTGGTACGAAAGTGTTGCTTTACTAAGAATTTCACGGTAACCATCTTCTTACAGTTATTCGAGAAATCTCAAGCTGTAAACTTGCTTTTACAGAGTTTAATACTCCATCGATTAGAATAAACAGTTTCGCCCCGACATTTATCTAACTTAAAAGAAACAGTCTGCCGAGGTTTATTCCGTAAATGGTCACGTTGGCAGCTGACTTCCTTTCGATTTAAAAGGATTATGCAAAATTTTAAGACTTCCCGTTTCCAGATGACATGTTGTTTCCTCTTGATTTCAGCCATGAGGTGAATCGCAGAAGGCAGCCAACTATGGCGAACAATTCCCTTTTCTTCGTCATCTTTACGTTGTCACTTTGGACGATCAAATGTAACAACTCTACGTCCAAAACGGATATCTATATCGGGGGATTTTTCGGCGTCAATATCAAAAAAGGGGCTTGGAGCTCAGCAGCCCTCATACCAATCTTAGAAATGGCACTGGAACACGTAAACAGCGACCCGCGCATTTTAGTGGACTATGAGCTGAAATATGTGTGGAACGATTCCGAGGTATTCACGATCTTGTAAAATCCGAAATAAAATTGGCTACTCGGCCGTTACAAATTCAAAAAAACAAAAAAAACAAAAAAAGCCGGCCGTGTTACCTTTACGTTATATCCAGGAGCTTAAAGATGTGAAATGCGGATATTTAGCTGCATAGCGGCTCTCGAGAACATAGATACATAATTTATGGCAAAACCCCCAGAAAATCGGTGACCGGTATTTCGATTTGATTTTATTTCATCAATTTTTTTCTCGCACAAAAAGTTCCATACATGATGGTACCGGGTTCAAAAACATTTAGTTATCCAGCTTCCAATTATCCGTTAACTTATTTTATATCTTGAGTTGAAAACAAAGTCATAAAATAGCAGTACAAAACGTTTTTTCTCAGAAAAATTGCCAAACCAAACACCTCAAAGGGTACGAAATCTCTCAACCTCAAGGAGAACCAAATGATTTGTTGCGATACAGCACTTATTTTAAGCTCACATTTTAACAATAGTGTGAAAGTGGATCAGGTATAAGAGCTATGCTCCAGATGATTGACACTCCTCCGCACAAGATTGTTTTCCTGGGTCCCGGATGTTCCGTAGCAACAGTTCCTGTTGCAGAGGCTGCCCCGTACTGGCAGGCAGTGCAGGTAAATACTAGTGATTGAATTGTTTATTTGGCAAATTAAACCCTAAAAAAAGTATTCTTATATCCTACCCCTTTTTAAGTTGGAGAAAATGGTGACCAGACGAAGACTTCCAAAATATTAAACTAAATGAATACCCGACTTCGATAACTTCTTCAATATGTAGATGAAACCTCTGTATAAACATTTCCTCGTAAATGGACGTAAGATGATTGAAAGAAAAGTGGAGCTTGAGCTGTATTTAGGATGTGCACTAACAATCCAGAAATTATTTTAAACTTTGTTTTTTTCTCAGATCGGTTACAGCACATCATCACCACAATTTTCAGACAAGGAGAAGTTTCCTTTGTACTTTAGAACGAGCACTTCTGAAACAATGGAGAACCCGTCTAGAGTTGCACTGTTAAAGCACTTTAAGTGGAAAAAAGTTGGCCTCATTGTACAAAACTTGGATATTTACGTATTGGTGAGCCGTGAAGAGCAATATTTCTTCAACTCGTAAATAAATGCCAATACGCAGCCATCTCGCAATACACACTTAGCTCAAGAAAACTTCCTCTTATTCTTACATATAACCCAACCATTCAATTTTGCGCTATTTCTTTGGCAACTTTACGTCACGTGGTACAAAATCACAGGGTAATTACCACGCAATAACCCCCTTCTACGTTATGTTCTCTGGTTATTTCCGTCGAGAAGAAACAAAATTTCACATTTGCCCTAGTAGCTTCGCTTCTCGGCCAAATCTTTATTTTTGAGACCGTCTCTCAGCCGTAAACATTAGGGACCTTAAGATACTGGACGCGGCTGCCTTTAAGAACGCGGTCACGTCTGAGAGGGCATGGGTCGTGACCGCCACCTTTGCGCGGGAAATACGAGCCTAAAATACGTCCAGGGTATCTTAAGGTCCCTATTATTAGCCGACATAGTGGACGTACGCAGGGATTTATTTACTAAATATACAGAATTATCTGAGGTACTTATTGATTTCCTTCGTTAGTTTATTTAAATTCATTTATTGGTGGTTATTTTTATTACTTAACAGACCAAAGAGGCACTCATTCCAATGTTGGAGGAATCAAACATAACCATAATTGCAGCAGAGAGCTTCAAAAATGATCCATCTTCGACAGTCAAGTATTTACTCAAGGTAAAGTGGCAAAATTATTTTTTTCTGGGCTCAAAGGGCATCGCTCCTTTAACAAAGCGGATAACGTCGAGGGCTGGACGGTTGAAGGGATCAGAATGAGAGAAGAGAATCTTGTGTCAGTATTGTAGGTCAGTTCAGTTCTTGTGAATGCTTTCGTCATGATCAATAATTCATTTTCCCATTCATTGGCTGAATTCATGCTGAATTTAGGAGAGAGACGCGAGAATCATAATTGGTTTAATGTACGAAGACATGTTCAGGAAAGCTATGTGCACGGTAAGTTACTAACATTAAAATACAAAATTTCTTTTCTTGTACCAGTCAACATGCCTATATTCTGTTGAAATCTATAAATTGTATAGAAAGCCCTAGACAGTCGCGAATACAACATCGGAAAAGGCATTTGATTTAGATTATGATAATTACTACCTTAAATGAATCCATTGCGTAACACTTCACTTTTTCGACACTAAAGGCATTATATTTTTAAATCAGCTTTGAACGAAATTCAATTTAATTAAACGACTTGAGCCCCCAGTGAGTTTGGATCACGGTCTTTCGTACAGCACCGCCTTAGTTTGCTCCAACTACGTGTATGTAACCACAATCCATCTCCAAAGATTCTTATCGAGTGCTTTTTATTTCATAATAAATATTCAAAATTTCCAAGGCCTACAAGGAAAAAGTATACGGCAGAAAATACGTGTGGATCATAGTTGGCTGGTACAACGACGACTGGTGGACAAAAACAGATGTGGAATGCGAAGGGCATCAAATGTTAGCGGCTGCTGGTAGTTTGATAGAAACTCTACCTTTACCCATAGGTGCTTCACAAGAACCCACAATATCAAATAGGGTATGTAAAGTTCGAAATCCTTTTGAGCCACACCATACCACATGAAGGCAAAGCCAAAACTTCATTTAATTAGATAGCAACATTACTAAAATAAACTAAGTTCAACGTTTTACAATTATTTTAGAAAAACTAGGCCATTAATCAGCTTTCAGCGTATTTTCCACTTAGTGATGATATTAACAAAATTAACAAAAACTCCTTGATTCATCCTGAAATATCAACGACTAATGATATTAAGCCTAAGAAATGACCCTATAGACCACATAGTTAAAGCAATGTGGGAAATTTTTGTACTGAGCTCCGAGGAAATGTTGCGGCAGCCAGGATACTCATCTGGCTTGAGAACATTTTACTTTAATTTAAACCTTCTGTTGAAAACTTAAAAGGAAAGTGTTTTAAATGATTTTCGAAATCATTCCCTGAACGACTTAAAAAAAAATGCTGATTTTAAACACTTCCCCTTTCTTTATCAAAGCCTAAAATCCTGGACTGGTTGGAATCTAACGCATTAAAAACTTTAATCCTGCTAAATCTCGTTTCCTTTTTTCAGACTGCAGCTGAACTTAAAATAGAATACGAGGAAAGACTTAAAATGTTTAACTACACATACAACATGTATGCAGCTTTTACCTATGACGCCGCTTGGAGTATTGCCCTCATGCTTAACAAATCCATTCCTCTGCTTCGAGAAAAGAACAAAACCTTGGAAACGCTGAAATATAAAGATAAAGAAGTAGCTGAGATCATGCGCGACATTCTGTTCCTTACAGACTTCTGGGGAATGTCGGTACGTACTCTTAGTCTTGTAATCGCTTTATGCCAAACACCATACTAAGGACATTTGATTTGCGCATCAGGTGCAAAAATAATTTAACCAAACCCTGCAGGTGACATTGACCTTGACATTGGCCTTGACATTGACCTTGACATTGACCTTGACATTGACATCGACCAATCATTCTGACCAATCAGAATGTCTGGTTTGTTTCTTTCTTTGCACTGAATAGTGCACTGAATTAACTCTCTTCTGCACTGAATTAACTCTCTTCTGCACTGAATTAACTATATTCTGCACTGAATTAACTATAAACTCCGTTCATCGTAACCAATCAGAACAGAGAAATTTTTTCATGTACATTATTAGGAAAAAATATAGTAATTTTCCATATGAACAGAATTTGATTTGCAGCAAACCACAGTTAGGCGAAATTACGAGTGCACAGATCACTGTGTTGGGCTCTCGACTAATAAAGAGGAAGAGGAAGAAAACATTTGCATCGAATCATAACTTAGATACTCAAACGGAGTCTAAGAAAGGCCATTTTGTATTACCTTACATCCTTCCAGGGTCATGTGACGTTCGACCGAAAGTATGACAGAGAGACGGTGGTGCAAATTTCTCAAAATATACGTAAGTTGAAGAAAAATGATAGTTGGTCTACAGCATCATGTCTTGAACTAATAAGGAAATTTTCATTGAAATAAGCTGTGGTTAAACCTTAACTCAGACCATTGTTTCAGACGCGCTCCTTGCGCGTATCGACAGGACACAGACTACTCAGCCTGTTAAATGCCAAGAGAATTTGTGCAACCGTCTATTGGAGAATTTCCTGCACAATTTCAGCGTGCAGTAGGGCTGATAATTTAACAATTTTATTATAAAGTTGGATTAATACCAATGATATCTATGTGTTATGCAGGGGGAAAAAGGAAAAGTGTTGCTATGTTGGATATCCGTAACGGATCATTAATTCTTCTTAACGACAGTTTTGAATGGGAAGGTAAGTTTATCATGAAAGTATTAGGTATAGCCTGATCATTTCAGAATATTCACGAAACTTATAAATATAATCTTAAAGAATAGGGTATACATGGTAGAAATAGCACGAAAACTTCTACAAAATGACTCACAAATTTTGCATTCCAAGAACAACATCGCCGGCCTTGACAGATCTCGTAAAAACGGTCATTTGATGACCACAAATATCAAAAGAAGAGTTCTATTTCGTTTCCAAAAGTACTTGCACCCTTCAGAAGGTTTTCAAAATTACACAATAGACCTTTCTCAACCACCTCTCCCGGTCAACCTCGTTCCACCCCCACCCCACCCCCAGCTAAGGGAAAAGGCCCTGGAAACGAGGTTGCTCTCCCGGTGGGTGATCTTTGATCGGTAAGTACCTTTTCATCCAACAACAGAAGACTGCGTGGTCTGCCACGTAGCAGACCTTGTCAGCCTTTAAGGATAAGAATAGTAGTAACCCTTGTATGGCATGTTCATAAACTTCAGTGAGATAAATTTCATTTAAAAATCATGATCAGATTCCTCCACGGGAAAGAACCCTCTAAAATGTACTCTACACCCTACGTGTCGCTTCGTAACTCAGCTGGTAATAGCGTCCAACTACGATACGGGTTCGATTCCCGTGAGAGTCTGAATTTTTTCCAAGCCTCTTTTCTGCAATTACTTAAAATTACTTCTCACCTGCAAGGATCATTGCTTTCATGACTTGAATATACGCATGTTTTGCTGTTCAAAGGTGGCCGTGTACCAGGAGATGGTGTCACAGTTATCCAAAAAGTGTTCCAAGAGAGCTCCAGTACAACGGTGACTTTTTACGTGTTAACCTGTGCTGGAGTGCTGTTCTGTTTACTTTGTTTACTACTCAACTTTGTTTATCGAAAGCACAGGTATAAATAGAAAGGCGATATTCTTTGTTATTGTTTATTGTTTGCTTTGATAGCATCCTTGGCATGACAAAACATACTTTTGTACATAAATATTATTATTGTTTATCTTTATCAGGTTTATAAAAATGTCCTCTCCAAAGTTTAACAATATCACCGTCGCTGGGTGTCTACTGTCCTACACTGAAGTGTTTTTAACAGCTTACAGTAACTCTTCATGGGCAGAGTACGATACCTCGCTGTGTTATGTAAGAATATTTCAGTTTTCAGCTTATCAGTGCTTATTTAACAATTCTTAAGGTCCCTAGGACATATATCGTCTTGATGTTTTGGGATAAGTTGCAAGGAATAAGGTCTGAAAATAGCGCAGGATTTGTTAGAGTTTCTTCGCAACAGAACATTCTAAACTTTTGATCGATAGTCTGAGAAAGCTTTGCCGCAAAACAAAAGTGATTTTGGAAGCTTGAATTACCATTTTCCCCGAACTTACATCTGTCTTGAAACTTAATCCAGAAAGCGATACTGTGACAAGATATGACCATGTCCAAATTTACAATTTGTGCTCCTAAATGTGCTGTGGGAAAAATAATGCATTTTAGTATAATTTATACCACTGACTTACGTGAATAATGCTTTTCGCGCGCGCCAATTAGCTAGTTCTGAAGTGAATAGCAATAACTATTCACCTCCACTTTGGCGAATAATTGTTGATTATTTCAGGCCAAAATAGCTTTGCCATTACCTTGAGTAAGTAGTTCTAAGGGTTTTGATTTACATGTAAGTCGCCTTACTGCTAATTTCGTTGTCTGCATTTAGTCAAAAAGATCATTTTTCTTTAGATAAATGTTTGGCTGCTGACTACTGGTTTCACCCTGGCATTTGGGGGAATCTTGGTCAAGACTTGGAGAGTTTACAAAATATTTACAAACAATCAGATGAAAAGAGAGGTTAGTAAAAATTACACTTTTGAAAGGCAGCGTGCAATTTATATCTCACCATTTTCTATTCATTCTAGCCGGTTTCTTTTTATCCATATTACCGACCGCAATTCTGATGTCCACGTAGGCCTTTTTAGGATATCTGAGGATGGCTAACCTTTCTCCTCAATTTTGAAATTTAATGACCAAAGACATTTTGATAAACAGCAATAGAGACATTTTTAACGCTAATGGTCAAGATCAGAGATCATTTTGGGAACAAAACGAAGCTAAGGGAGGAAGTTTAACCCGGTGGATAGTGTATTACCTTTTGGTTGCCGTTTGTGTTTGATGATGAGTGAAAACAATGTACCGTACTTGAAATATCGCAAAAGAAAGTGGCACTTGATATATCACATCAAGAATGGATCACAGAGTTCTTGGTCACTTCATGTAATGGGAACCTCACTTCAACTTAGAACGCCTAGTTATGTCACGTTTTCAATGTTTGTTAGTCATGTTTTCAATGTTTGTTAGTCACGTTTTCAATGTTTGTTAGTCACGTTTTCAATGTTTGTTAGTCACGTTTTCAATGTTTGTTAGTCACGTTTTCAATGTTTGTTAGTCACGTTTTCAATGTTTGTTAGTCACGTT